CTGTTCGTTGAAGTCCCGTCTCATTGGCAGAATAAATGACGTCACCGATGTTGATATCTGATCCAAACACGCTGATTGGCTGGCTTGAATTCGGCGAGCTCTTGAAAAGTACGTGATTGGGCGAGAGCGTGAGATTCCGTCCAATGGATGTGCGTAGAGTAACGTAGAGGGCTGTTTCCTTTGGTCGCCTGTCCATGAACCCCAGGATCGTTGACGTCACTACATGGCCTGACTCGTCAACTGAAAATAATGAAATAATTATTACAGGAAGTATGACGCCAACAATGATAGACTTGTCCACAGATTACAATTTATGAGAATGTACTCAACTAAGAAGCAAGAAGAGTAAAAGGGAGGGAGAAAAAATAAAATAATGCTACTACATATGAAACGACAAAAATGTACGTCATAATCAACTCGTCAGCTGAAAAAGAAATGAAGTCATTATTTTTCAATTAAAACTGGATAACAGAAACCATTGCATATCCACTTATTACATAATCATCATCAGAACATTCGATTCTCCTCTCTGGATAGATTGCCAGTCCATGGATTTGCTCGAGACATGCCGGAAGACACTGCAATGGAGACAGCAACATTGCGAAATCCTTTGCTCACGCCTCGTGCTTATCAAGGATCCTATCAACTGAATGTCCATTTGCTGTCGAGGCATCAAGGCAGGCGCCAGTGTGGGCCGTGACGCCATGGGGATGTGTTCACCCGTGTCTCTGTTTGGGGATGGGCGCAGTCACATACTCAAGGATAGAAACTATATATACATACATATATATATATATATATATATATATATATATATATATATATATATATATATATATATATATATATATATATATACATATGAAACTATGGTAGAAAAACCCACAATGTAAAATAAATCTAGTTTTTATATATACATATATACATATATACATATATATACGTATATATATATATATATATATATATATATATATATATATATATATATATATATATATATATATATATGTACGTGTTTCGCACCTCTATATTTGCGAAACACGTGGAGTCAATGTAATGCTTCCCGTTTCTTTGTACTTTTTCATCAATAAAGGCACGGTACGGATTAATATGTTATGTTCTCGAATATTGTGTAATTCCGTTGTTGTGCACCGGTGATGCGGACACACCACTCACACTCGCGGCCGGCAATAGAAAGCGGCCCAAGGCACGCTGATGCCCAGCACCCCTCAAGGGTAGCTGACCTAGCATGACCGGTCAACCTGTGTTGTTCACGTGATGCAACTCATGCTGGACACGTGAACCACACTCAATCATACACTCGAGCAGATTTCACACAATGGAAACGTCCAGTTTCTCGCCGCTTCCTTCATACGTCTGTAATTGTGCTTGTGGTAGAAAAAAAACACACAATATAAAACAAGATTTATTGAAAGTGAGACCAGGTGGATTCCGAAACTGTAGTCTCACTTTCAATAAATCTAGTTTTACATTGTGGATTTTTCTACCACAGTATCAACACGGTAGAGTGTTTTACCATTCACAGTTGTACTTGTATGTGTGTGATGATCTATGTTTGCATTCGTTGGTCTTACGAACAACGTAACCTTACAACCGGAACGAAACATTACCCGATAATTCGTAGAGTAAACAACTAAATGAAAAGCAGGGCGAAGAAAAGGAAGGAAAAAATGACGACCCACTTGCCGAATCGGAGAAAGAAAGACGAGGATAAACAAGGAATAAGAGAGAACGAGAAGGACGGGTGAAGGACGAGCATGGGGAAAACGGCGATCAAAATCTTGAAGAATGGACCAAGAAGTTCGGGCTTGGGTGTGATGTATCGGCTTAATTCTCCAAGTTCAAGAAGGAACAGCAGGGCCTTTTATTTTTTATCTATTAGTCTTTATTTATTTATTTATTTATTTTTTTCATTTTTACTTTATTTCATTTTGTTTGTTGGGTGGATGGCTGGGTGATATAGAGATCTTAAACGGTAATTGTTAGTGTTTAAACTGATTATGATATGAGTAGACGGGGCAAACACACAAACAAATAGAATAGAAAAGAAGGAAAGAAAGAAAGGAAAAGAAAAATACGGCATGGAGAATCAAACAGAATATGTAGTCAACTAATAACTATACTACCCATATATTCTCTTTTGTGAACTTTTTAAATGTAATTCCTATACCCCTTCCTTCCGTCTCTCTCTCTCTCTCTCTCTCTCTCCCTCTCTCTCTCTCTCTCTCTCTCTCTCTCTCTCCCCCTCTCCCTCTATCTTTCTACCTCTCTTTCTCTTTCTTTTTCACCCCCTCCCCCCTTTCTTCCCTATTCTCATTCTCCTCCCTCTCTCTCTCCCTCTCTTTCTAATTTTCTTTCTTCCCCTTCCCCCCTCTCTTTCTATCTCTCTTTCTCTTTCTCCCTCCCTCCCCCCCTTCTCTTTCTCTCGCCTTTAAGAATGAAAGTTCCGTAGCAGCAGTTAATAATAACTTTCCTA